TTCCTCCTGGTTTGTTTGTTTTTACTGTGTGGATTTTACATACGAAAGGGAGCGAATTGGTCATCTGCTTTTGGGCATTTCGCTTACGCAACCGCGCCGTGAGCTCCAAATGGAGATTAGATCACATGGTGTCTTATATTAAAAAGCTTTGGGCTGATGCAGATTAAGTTGAGATTATGACTGACAATGTCTGCCCTCAAAGTCATAGCAGGACATTTAGGCTCCACCTCATCTCCACTCACCAACCCCCAAAACACGTATTTGATCAGTGTGAGGGGCAGAAAACACGGGGGTTATGTCACAGTGGGTCTAATCTGAATCTACATGTGGGCTATAAAGGTATAATGAGACGGTGGGATCTTGAGTTTCTCCTTTTTTTAAATACTTTGTACTCTTTCAAAGCAAACAGAAAACAATACAATCACAAACTAAAAAATCATTGATCATAAATGGCTAAAAAGGCTTATCCACTATTGGGTTTGCTACATGGAGGACTAACAAGATGAATGGCCAATCAGCAGATTTTGTTTACTTGAACTCAGGAATGCTTCATCATTATTCACCACGAAGGTTTCTCATTAAAAATGCCAGCAGGATATCGACACACCGAGTGTGACCTGAAAGAGGCTCTGCTCTTAATTGAGAAGATGTGATTAACATATCTCTGTATACTTCATTGAACAAATCGGCATTCAGCCATATATATTTATTTTTTCTACTAAAGCTGCTTCTCAATCAAACTTGTCAGAAAGAAACAAACTTTCAGACGCCTGTCGGCCATTTTTTTCTGTGAGCTCAAATTCAAATACAGCAATAACAAGCCAGACACCAATCTTTATGACTGAATTATATTGAAAAATGTTACAAATTTGTTCAGAAATCCTGTAAATAGGGGACTAGCTGTTTCGTGGTTGAGATATCTAGTGAATATTGTGGCGCGGTTGCTAAGGCGACCGGTGGCTAGTGCTGGCTAGCAGCTCTGATTTTGGTGTTCTGAGTCCTCTGTAAAGCAAAATGAAAAGTTTCAGCTCAGGTCTCACACTGTCCTGTATTGTGGCTAACTCTCTGTATTTGGCCCTTTTCAGCCAAACCAGCCTTTGAACTGGCTAAATGCTAAAAATAGGCCCTGAGTCGGTACTGGCTAATAACTGGTTTGGTTTTCCACAGCCAGGGCCACTTAAATCAATATTTGAATTGATCAATTTTTCATGAAAATGTTTGAAAAGGTTTATATCTTCACAAAAAAAACATATTACCTTCATTTTACCTTCATTCTCTGCAAATTAATGTTTTAATTGAGATTTTCCATACGTCGGGCCAAATAACTTTATCACAGCAACTGAGAACCTTTAAAAAAATCCACTTAAGATGTTTATTATCTCCATCAAACCGGATTGTTTTCTTAGCGTTCAGAGTCCTGAGAAGAGACGGGAACACAGAGCTGGAACTTCAGGATTTAGCTGGTTTCAGAATGTCACCATAAGTCACTACGTTTTTATTTGTATTTTCCAATAGTCTTGCAAAACTAGCAAAGCTCTGATTACTGAGAGTTTACAGGGAATTTGTCCTGTGCAGCATCGTCTGGCGGTTTAACCCTATAATGCCAAATGTATCATATCTGATCTGGTTTCTGAAGTCTTTTGGATCTGAGACTTTCTGCATCATTCAGTGGTAAAAGCTTTGCTCAAACCCCTGTTGTACACATTCAGATATACCTGATAACAGCCAGTAGAAGACTACACCAAAATACATTTTGGACTTATTGCACGCTAATTTGATCAAAATAATTTAAGTTTTTTTTCTTCATATGTTGTTGAGGGGCCAAAGAAAGACTTCAGACTAAAAAAATCCAATATTCTTCCCTATTTTTCTTGGATCAGGCTTTAAAGGGTTAATAACCTCTGATGTAATTCCACATGTGAGCGGAAAAGTGTATTTGTGTGAATTGACGATGTTAACGGTTTGTGTGTGTGTCTGTATGTATGTGTCTGTGTGTGTCTGTGTGTGTGTTTGTATGTGTCTGTGTGTGTCTGTGTGTGTCTGTGTCTGTCTGTGTGTGTCTGTGTGTGTCTGTGTGTGTCTGTGTGTGTGTGTGTGTGTGTGTGTGTGTGTGTTGCAGAGCGCGGTTTGCAGACTGACAGAGGTCTTTTGTCAGAGCCAGTGGCAGAATTGGGCCAGATGGAGTACCAGCTGCTCAAGTTCTTCACCCTGCTGTGAGTGCACAAAAACACACACACACACACACACACACACACACACACACACACACCCTCACCTCCACCAGCAGCTGACTCACAACTCCTGAGCTCCGGGAGCATTAACGTGCAGATATAAATAGTTTGTGATTCAGTTCGCTTCATCACGGGGGATCAGAGCTCCCCAAACCAGTTTTAATTTTATACTGTTCCACAGAGATGTTTCGTCCCGTGGAGATTTACTGATAGGATTTCTCATAATGCATCAGACTCTATCGGAGGTTTGTGTGTCCTGCTGATTATTGTTTCCCTGACAGAACACTCTGACTCTGACTCCGCTTTTGTTCGTACGGATTTACTGACACTGACTCCTGACCCCAAAAACAGAACGATCACAAAGGACATTTCAGATAGATTACTGCTAAATATCTAACCGTTTCTGAAATGGTAAATTAAATTAATACACGGTGAGACGATACAGAGCAAACTATATGTTTTTTTAATTTTAAGATTTATATTAATTAGAATTTTGCCACATCTGCAAGTTTCTTCTAATTTTAGTTTTCATGGCGTAGGAATGGAAGCTAATGGCTGCTTAACCCTTTAAAGCTTGATCCGAGAATAAAACAAAACAGAAAATTCCTTTTTTTTTCATTTGAATTCCTTATTTGGCCTTTTAACAAAATATGTAAAAAGAAAAAACAGAAATACATTTTTAATATTAATAATTTATTACTATGCGATAAGTCAAGATTATTTTTTGTGTAGTCTTCTGTCCCCTGTTATCAGGTGTATCTGAAATGTGTACAATAGGATTTTGAGCAAAGTTTTTACCATTAAATTATGTAAAAGGTGTCAGACGTAAAACATTTCAGAAACCGTATGAATCAAATATGATACATTTGGCATTATAGGGTTAAATTAAAACACGGTGAGACGATACAGAGCAAACAATATGTTTTAGCAGGATTATAAGATTTATATTAAATTGAATTTTGCCTCATCTGCAAGTTTCTTCTAATTTTAGTTTTCATGGCGTAGGAATGGAAGGTAAAGGCTGCTTAAACAGGAATAGAATCACACTTTAAAATGCTGCATCATCAGTTTTTTTGCTGCCTCAGTGCAGATTGTCTCAGCTGAATCCTATGAAATGCTCACAGGAAGTCAAACGCTGCCTCCCAGTGGACATCCAGC